CTTGTTGTGATCCACACAGTCAAAAGCCTTTGCATAGTCAATGAAGCACAGATAGACAGTCTTCTGGTATTCTTTGCTTTCTGCCAAGATCCATCTAACATTACCTATAATATCCCTAGTACCACAACTTCTTCTAAATCCAGCCTGAACACCTGGCTGAAAGGTTAGTGGTTCAAACTCATCAGCTGCTCAAGGAAGAAAGATGGGCAGTCTCCTCTTTTAGACATTTACAGCCTCAGAAACCTGATGGAAGGAGGGTCCATATAATTTAGAATCTAATCAATGACAGTGAGTGGACACTTATTGCTTTCAACACTTATTATACACATTGTATACTTTATGGTGTTCATTGTCTGTCCCTCTTTGCTAGAATTAAACTCCTCAAAGGTAAAGATCTTTGTCTAATTTGCTCATTGATAAAATCTAAGCATCTGGCATAGTGCACAATATAAACGAGCTATAAATATATACTGAATGGATTAATTTCAGGAAACTCCTGTTTCTGTATTCTACATATACATGAGTGTGGTGGATTGTTATACAAAATATATTTCTCACTGAAGATGCAGTCAAGAGAATTAAAAAAAACTCCTAGAGTTAAACTACATGACTTATAAGATCCTTTCCAATTATGAGCGCTTACAAATTTTCATGTTCATCTCATTAAATCTGATACATTCTTTGACTGTAACAGGGCAGAGAGCTACTGACATCCAGAAGCAAAACAGTCATCCTTACCTGTTCTCTGATGGTTGGTTAGAAAAGTGTGGAAACAGGAAACAGAAGGACTGAATGTTCCCCAAATAAAATTTGAAATTACCACTTCCATTAAAAAAGAAATAATAAGAGCAAATAAAAAAGGAGAAAACATTCCAGATCACTTCTAACCACTTACTGAAGAAGTGAAGCACAGTGATGAAAGATATCACTCAATGTTTCTGCTGTAGAAATTGTGACCTGGACGGGTGTTGGAAGCAAAGACCATTTCTTGAGTATGTGCGATTTCCACTCTTCCACAGGCAGATCCATGCTACTTTAGATCTGTAAAATGATGAATAAAATAAGGAATCTGTTTTCAATAAACACACAATGTCAAGCAATTAAGATTTTATTCAAGCAAAGGTAAAACAGCCAAATTCTTTGACTGTTTTTCTATTGATGTTTATGTTTATGTGTTTTGTTGCCTTATAACTAAAGCGTGAGGAAAGATCTGTATATTCTCATGCCAATTCACTCAAAATGAATTGAAAAACTACTATATTCCCCCAGATGTGCCTGGTTCGAATCCCCAGATGCTCTGTTGGAGAAGGAGGGACAATCTCCTCCTGTACCAGTCAGATCAGATTTGATGGTACAATGCACAAAAAAATAATAAAATTAAGAAAAAATTCAACTTGTAAAAAAAAAGTACTATATTCCAAGCACATTTCGTGATAGTCATATGACAAATTGGTTCAGTTAGCTAATACCATCAATATCCTCTTGAAGCTCTATTTACCTAAGTTGCTCAAGTCAGAAATCTGAGACAATAGATTTTTTTCACTCATCCTGGCAACTGTCCAGTTGATAAATATTTCTCTTCTATTGTTCCATTTCCTCCTTCAGTTCCCAGGTCATACACCTTCATTATCTCGTTTGAAACGCTTTCCACAGATACAATTAGTCTTCCTGACTTCATCCTGCGACACCCTTCAACTACTCCTCTATCCTGAAAGATGTTAGTCTGCTAATTCATCAGTGTTCATGACACACATTATATGACCCTTGGCTTCCTAAGTCTCAAGTGTACTTCCTACTTTGTACCCTACCATGCTCAACTACTCATAGCTATTTCTTGTCCACCAATTTGCCATCCTGTTTCATTTCTCCAAATATTTTGCACAGACTATTGATTTTGCCAGGAGCATGCTATCCTCACTTTGCTACACCTGGCAAGCTCCCACTTATTTTTCTAGATTCAGTTCAAATGGCACTGCCTTTTGATCATAGTCTGTGATTCCAGTACATTGTGTCTGTTCAAGGGCCTGTGCATATTTGACTATACTTTGAGTTACTCACAGTGGATATTCTCCCAGAGAGACTGCGCTCTCCTCTGAGCACAGGAGCTGGTCTCATTTACCAGGAGAGGCCCCAGCTGCTTTGCTTATATTCAGCAGCAGAGTTGCCCAAGAATAGCTCTAACTCTCTTCTGGGCTACCAAGCCTGCCGGCCCTTATGAACCGCATCTGGTATGACCCGGAGAACCAGCTCAGAAAGCTTCCGGAACTGGCTCACTGGGGCGCTTAACCGCATCCGCACAACCCTCGGCGCCCAGAGCCCCGTCGCTCCGCCTCTCGGTACCATAGTCCTGCAACTAGACCCCCAAACTCCCTTGGGCGAGTCACATGGGCCGCCCGCCACCTCTCCGCCAATGCGGTTGCTGTTTGGCTCCTATGCCCGCCCCTGCGCAGCGCTCCGTCAGGAGGCGGAGTGGCGCGCGCAGCTCTTCGGGCCAATCGCGTCGGAGCGCGCGGGACCCCGGGAGTGGAGTAGCGACTGCTGCGGAGTCGGAGCGCGGGAGTTAGCTCGCTGGAAACATGGTTGGCCACCTGAGCGAGGGGGCCATTGCGGTGAGCGGAGGCCTGGAAGCCAGAACAGCGGGGCCGGGTGGCTATGGGCCCTGGAAGCGGGCTTTCTGGATCTGTGCCGAGTGGAGAAGGGGAGGGACGCTAGGGGAGGTGGAGTGCGAGAACTCGCGAGTGGCGAGTCGATTGCGGAGGGCGATGGGAAACCGCCCGGGTGTCTTGTAACGTCATTTACTTCCCCCTCCTCGTCTTTAAAACATCACGTTTCCCCCCACTTAAACCAAGATCAACTCTTGACTCCTCGATTTCCCAATAGCTGCTACTCTGACTCCTCCCTTCCCTCCTTCGCAGCTAAACTTCTCCAGAGTTGTTTTCACCTCTTTTGCTTTTCCCCTACCATTAAATATTGCCCCGCTCCAATCATTTATCCTCCTGATCGCTATAGAAATAGCTCTGGCCGAAGTACTAGTGACCTCTAAGTTAACCAAATACAGCAGATTGATCCGAGTTAAATTTTCAGTTTACCCGAGTTCTCAGCAACATTCCAGTCTGTTCTGCATCACTTCCTCTTGGTTACACAATCGTTCTTTTGCTCCTGTGGTTGACTGATCTTTTCCTTTCGTATTTGCAGGGCCGCCTTTGTAAAATTTGGTTGGCTTGAAGTGCTGCCCTAGGCCGTCTTCTGCTTTGCAACCTTATAGCCGTCTGTGTCAATTGCTCACACTTTTCTTGGTACCAAAGTGCCTTTGCATTGAAAAGAAGCCTTTATAATCTGCTTGTTTACTTCATCTTTTTTATCTCCCTTCCCCTTCCCCAGCAGCCTTTGGGTTCAAACCGCCAGATCAGGGTTAGCACACAAGTCCCTTAAATCGCCATCTCAGATTCAGCATAGTCAAAAGCAAACCCGTTTTCTTCTTGTAGTGTAATTCTCGCAGCGTTCTTTACCTTGCTGAATGACATCATTGACCATTAAGTTATACTATCCAGAAGTTGAGAAATCTTTTTTTACATACTCCATCCTACAAGTTTATCACCAACTCCTGTGTGTTTCATTTCCACATTTGTACTTTAAATCCATTTAATTTTTTCTGTACACACCTTAATTGTTTTTGGTCAAACATTCTTCTAAGTGGTATAGCACTTTTCTGTCCATTTGTCATACAGAGGTAACTAATTCATCGTTGCTGTAATACTAAATATGTGACACTGATGTGTTAAATGCCATTATGGTTACCCATGGTGGGACAGTGTTTGGTGGAGCTCCGCGATTAAAACAAGCTTGGAAGCAGGACTGGCATCCATTTCTCAAATAGCTATCCTCCGGAAACTCTATGAACTTGGAGAAACAATGAAAGTTATATAAGCGTTCAGGTCTTTCGTTCATAGGGTTGCTGTGAGTCGTCTACAACTCGATAGCACTTAATAATAACATACACACCATCAGTTGTTAGCTAGACCACACCCTACTCAGTGTACCCTCTTATACACCTATCATGGCATAAGCCCTTCTCTCCAGACTCCTGGTCTTTACATTTTAAGTTCCTGGTATTTTTCCTATCCTTGCTTTGAACATATTTCCCCCTCTGTGTATCATCTGAATGGTTCTTCTCTCTCGCTCTTTCTCACAATTTTACATAGTCTTCAAATTCCAGCTCATCTGGGACCTCCTCAGAGAAACCGTTTTTCTTACTATTTTCTTTCTTGGGAACCTCTTGTTCGCCTATTATCTATGTAACTTTGGACAAGATACTAAACTGTCTCTTCTGTAAACTGAGTGGAATGACATCAAGTGTCTCTTGTGTAGGATAAAAATGCTTTGTGCCACTGGTGACCTAGTGGTAAGAAGCTGTGCTACAATCCAAAAGGCATGCAGTTTTAATCCACCAGCTGCTCCATGGGAGAAGGATGGGCAATATCCTCCAGTGCTGTTTATTGCCACTGAAAACACAGAACACCAGTGCCTGACAAGTGAAAAGGGGGCGCTAGTGGCCTAGGGGGTAAGCAGTTGTGCTGCCAACCCTAGGGCAAGCGGTTTGAACCTACCAGCTGCTCTTGGGGAGAAATAAGGACATTCTTCTCCCATGCACTTTATGTTGTTGTTGTTGTTATGTGCCGTCGAGTCGTTTGTGACTCATAGCAACCCTATGTACAACAGCCCTAAACTGTGCTCTATCCTGTGCCAATCTCATTGCCTCTGACACACCCATCCTGAGTGCCCCAGTCACTGAATCAATCCACCTCATAGAGGGTCTTCCCCTCCTGCGCTGTCCCTCTACTCTACCCAGCATAATAAATGCACTTTATAGCCTCTGAGAACCTCCTGGAGGGTCAGCTGTGAGTTTTGACTCAGCTGCGATGAATGAGAGTGGCTAAAACACAGGAAATGTGCATTACACAATGGGGGTATACACTACAAAACATAACTCCAATCCAGCAGTTTCTGTGTGTTGTTTAGTGACACTGATTATAATCTTTGAGTTGTACAACCATTCTCTCCTTTTTTTGGTCTTACCTAATTTTTATTATCAAGGATGTAACTTTGCAATGATTTGTTGTTTATTTGGTTAATATTAGTTACTTTCTATCTCTCCCATTAGCTTCTAAATTCCATAAGGGCAGTAATTATGTTTGTTTTTTTTGGCTCAGCACAAAATTGCCATCACTGTTCCAGCTACTGTGGATACTAGGTGCCCAGTGGTTGTTAACTGCATGAATACATTAGACAGTGAAAACAAAGGGATAATGATAGATGGGGAAGAGGAAGTTTGAGGAGACACAGGAAAGAGAACAAAGATTGGTAGAGAAAACATTTACTGAAATTGGGAATACAGAGACCTATAAAGTGATTGCAGATTGTAACCTTCATTTTATAATGGCTACATTACATTTTTAAAATAGTAAAAGTTGGGGGGGCAGGGAGGAAAATGTACAACAATGAATGAATGGAAATCCAAGTTCTTTATAAACTTTCATTAAAATCTCAATTTAAAAAAACAGACAAAAATACTCTAAGTGATGCTTTGCTTTTAAAAGGAATGATTATATGGTTGAATTTGCAGAGTGATTTCTCTTATTCAGAATTTTAGAAACATTTCTAGTGTTTCATTTGTCTAGTATTAACATTTCTAGTATTAAAGTTGTTAGATATAAAAAAGAACATGAGTGTGCGAGGGAGAGAAATAAAGAAAGGAATTGGTTCCAAGAAACGAATATTGAGCGAGGTGTGAGAGGGGCGCCAAGTGACCCAGCAGTATGGATTACAGACAGGATCCAATTGGCATACAGGCAGTTTGGGGGGTTTCCTTTTATAGGGGTCCTGGGGAGGACTAAGATGGTATGTCTTGGAATTTGACATGTTAATTAAGTTAGGTTTTAGCACCTTTTTTCTAAGCTCAGACCCTTATCAAGATCCAGTGACTAGTCTGGTCTTTGATATGACAAGCTTAAGTGTTATCAAGTTTCTCATGAAGTGATCAAGCTTGGGGGTGGTGGGATAACTGTCATATTCTTCCTTCAAAAGTATTATATGAGGTTTACACAAATGGAAGAGGAAGTCTTTGCTCATGTGTGGTATGTGTGAGGCAGCGTGTGGGAAAGAACCTTTGTAAGCTATCAGCTGAAACAAGGAGTATTGCAATAGACATAGACCTCAAATGGTAGGAAAATCACCTACAAATACTAGAGACTTAAAACAAAAATTTCTGCACGGAATTACTGTGATTAAGTAGACACCTGTTTCTATTTTAAGTGGTTGGCTAATAGAAAGAATGAAAAAGGAACTAATAATTTAAATTCTATAGGGTGAGGATCTGAATTCCTGGCCTGGTCTTTTTCCTTCTGTTGATACGTTCTTTAATTTTGTTTTTATTGTGGTAAAAAATTAAAAATTTTGCCACTTTAACCATTTTTAAGTACACAATTTAGTAGTGTTAATTACATTAACAGTCTTGTGCAACCATCACCACTATGTATGTCCAAAACTTTGTCTCTCAAAGCAGAAATTTTGTACACAGTCAGGTAAAAGCATTTACTTAATACACTTTGTATGTGATTGTTATTTTTGCTGTAAAGTAGTTATTTATATTATAATTTGTCTTTATGTTAACTTTTGACAAATTTAAAGCAGTTCTTTCTTTTTTTTTTTTTTATTGTATTATTTTTACGTGTACCGTCAAATCAGATCTGACTGGTACAGGAGGAGATTGCCCCCTCCTCCTCCAGCAGAGCATCTGGTGGATTTGAACCGCATACCTCTGGGATTGCAGTGCAGCGTTTTGCCACTAGGCCACCAGAGCTCCCTTAAAGCAGTTATTTCTTAAGTATACTCCCAGAAGAGTAAACCTTAAATTCAGTATTTATAAATGACACATTTTAAATTGGGGAGGAAAATCTAAGGCATTTTCACCTTTTTTTCCTGCTTAGTCCCAGTTCTGTTTCCCAAAAACAGCTATTTTTTCTATTTATTTAATCATGTTTATTCATATTTAAGGAGCTCTGATAACGTTCTGCTAGAAAGATCAGAGTTGAGAATACACCAGCTGCTCTGAGGGGAAAAAGCTGGACAGTGAGTAAGGATGACAGAAGAATTGTTTCCTATCAGTTGTGTTGGAGAAGAGCACTGAATATCCAGTGAACTACCAAAAGAACAAACAGGCCTTGGGAAAGGTGCAGCCAGTGTGCTCCTTATAGGCAAAGATGGTGAACAACTTTATATCTCAGACTTTGAGCATGTTGCTAGGAGAAGCTATTCCTTGAAAAGGGACATCATGCTTCAAAAGGTGGAAGACCCCCAATGAGGTGGATTGACATAGTGACTGCAGCAGTGGGCTCAAATGTGTCAGAAGATAAGGATGATGCAGGATAATTTCAGGTTTATTGTTCATAGGGTCTCTGTAAGTCACTTGATAGCACCCAACAATAGCTACCTCCCATAAACATTTGGTGGTGGTGGTGGTGGTTTTGATGATGTTGATTGCTGTTGAGTTGAACAGACTCATAGCGACCCTATAAACAAAAGGCCTGAAGCCTTTCTATAACTATGTTTCTCTAAGTTCATAGAGTTTTCAGAGGCATGTGGTTTAGGAAGTGGATGCCGCTTCTGCTTCCAAACCTGTCTTAAACTGGGAGTTCCACCAAACACTGTCCACCATGGGCAGCTGTTTGACACCTTCCCCCAATGACATAAGGTTCGCATCACAACAAACCCAGATTACTAAAGTGC